GAGCCTTAGGCTCAACCAAAGCCACCACTACACAGGTCCTCGTCAGGAGCTCGCTCTTAACGAGGCTTCCCCGTCGCCATGTCCAATGTGTTTGGGAAATGGAGCCCCATGGGAGTCCCATGGAAGCTATTAGATGATGTAAGGCAGTTCTGGTGGTACTCTGTGATGTTCCATTTCCCAAGCTCATGGAAACGGAGCCCAAGGACTTCTATCAGGAGTCAAGTGTCAAACAACTCCTGATAGATAAAGATGAGGTAAAGCGAGGAGAAGATGGGGAAAGGCAGGGTAAGCACATGGAATGGCTGGCCATCCCTGAAAACATGGAAAAATGGGAGGAAGTATGTTAAGATGAGTTCCCTCCACTCACCCTCGCTTTCCCCATTTTCCTCCCACTCCCTCTGATGAGGTCCTACGTCAGCAGGAGGAGAAAGATAAGAGGCAGAACTATTCCTGACTAATAGGCTCAAGCAAAAGCAAACTGTTGCAGTCTCTCTTAGGCTGCGTGATCTTCCTCATTTGTAACTTTTGCCAGTGTTTCTACACTCTGATGTTGCTTGGCTATACATGTCTCATGTGTCATTGGTGAAATGTTGGATGGCATGAACAGCATGGGAGCTACATGAGACCCCAGGGCCACCCTGGAGTTGAGACTAGTCCAAGTAATACAATACAGCATCTAAAAGCCAATGGCCTTCATTGACAAGAAGGTTTGAACTCTATGATAGAAGCCTACAATAATAATAATAATAATAATAATAATAATAATCCTTTATATCCCGCTAACACAGTGTTTCTCAACCTCCCTAATGCCGCGACCCCTTAATATAGTTCCTCATGTTGTGGTGACCCCCAACCATAAAATTATTTCTGTTGCTACTCATACCTATAATTTTGCTACTGTTATGAATCATAATGCCTTAATATAGTTCCTCATGTTGTGGTGACCCCCAACCATAAAATTATTTCTGTTGCTACTCATACCTATAATTTTGCTACTGTTATGAATCATAATGTAAATATCTGATACTCAGGATGTATTTTCATTCACTGGACCAAATTTGGCACAAATACCCGATACACCCAAATTTCAATACTGGTGGGGTTGGGAGTATTTATAGTTCACCTACAATCAGAGAGCATTCTGAACTCCACCAATGATAGAATTAAACCACCTTGGTACACAGAACTCCCATGACCAATAGAAAGAACTGGAAGAGGTTGGTGGGCATTGACATTGAATTTGGGAGTTGTAGTTCATCCTACATTCAGAGAGCAACGTGAACTCAAACAATGATGGAGCTGAACCAAACTTGGCATGAATACTCAATATGCCCAAATGTGAATACTGGTGGAGTTTGGGGAAAATAGACCTTGATATTTGGGAGTTGTAGTTGCTGGGATTTGTAGTTCACCTACCATGAAAGAGCATTCTGAACCCCACCAAGGATAGAATTGGGCCAAACTTCCCAGACAGAACTTGCATGAGCAACAGAAAATACTGTATTTTCTGATGGTCTTTGGTGACCCCTCTGACACCCCCTCATGACCCCCCCCCCAAGGGTCCCGACCCCCAGGTTGAGAAACATTGCGCTAACATCTCCCGAAGGACTCGGTGCAGCTTAAAAGAGGCCAAGGCCCAACACATCAATAAAACAACAGCATAACAAATACAACAATAAAACTCATAAAACAAGCAATAAACATTAAAACAATAGCAATAAACATTAGACAATAACACCACGACGCATTTAAAAACTAAGGCCGGGCCAAATGTAACGATTAAAAATTTTAAAATGCTAGACATGACAGGTGAAATAGGTAGGTTTTTGGAGATAGGTGCGGTGTGCAGACAATCTTAAATCTCTAGTAAAGTGCATTTGGGACATAATGCTTGGAGTTTCCTATTCTGGGAAGGCACACTGGAACAACCACGTCTTCAAGCTCTTCCTAAAGACTGTCAATGTTGGGGCTTGTCTGATGTCCTTGGGGAGAGAGTTCCAGAGTCGGGGGGCCACCACAGAGAAGGCCCTGTCCCTCGTCCCCACCAATCGCGCTTGCGACACAGGAGGGATCGTGAGCAGGTCCTCTCCAGATGATCGAAGAGATCGTGTGGGTTCATATACGGAGATGCGGTCATGTAGGTAGGCAGGTCCTAAACCGTTTAGGGCTTTGTAGGTATGCACCTGCACCTTGAATTGGGACCAGAAAATAAATGGCAGCCAGTGGAGCTCCTTGAACATGAGGGTTGACCTCTCCCTGTTAGGAGCACCAGTTAACAACCTGGCCGCCGCCCGTTTGACCAGTTGGAATTTCTGGGCCGTTTTCAAGGGCAGCCCCACATAGAGCGCATTACAGTAGTCCAATCTGGAGGTGACTAAGGCATGGACCAATTTTGATAATTGCAACAAATAATAATCATATTACTACAGAACCTTCTCTATGTGGCTTTTCTGATTACTGAATCCAAGTGCAATGCATGTCTCTCTTTGTTGTTGCTTGCTTTTATTATTCTGTCCACAAATTGTATAACTGGTCTATTGCTGTCTAGTGTCTCACCAGGGAGCAATTTTGCAAATGAGCCTTATGAAATATTCAACAAACTAGGTCCCAACAAATCTGCATAATAGGGGGATTCAGGTGTTGGATTAACTAGCTTGGACAATTTATTACAGATCATGTTGCCAGTTGATTTGGTGTTGCAAGGTAATCAATATTTCACAACAGAGGGCAACCTGCAGGGCAGGCTGCAATGATGAGGTCTATTGATTCAGTATGCTGACAGCATTTGACATTACCTGTAATTTGATGATGAATTGGTTCTAACCACTTCTACCCCCTAATCCTGCTCATTTTATACATACTGAAGTTCCATCAATCTTAAAGTCTCCTATTTGCGTGTGCAAGGGCGATACACCTCCCACCGTCAACCGGAGAAATACACATACACATGTTGTTGGGATGAATAATGGCCATGACTCATTTATTGATAAC